AATAGACTTCAATTAAAACATGAATTAAATAACTTACTATAAAAACATAGTCACAATTTCATATAATCACTTAAATTACCAATTAGGTGTCTTCCGGCATCACACATTTATAACCAGTTCTATGTTAAATGTTCATACAAGTTAGAGAGGTGTAACAGCGTCTTCAATACATGTTTAAAATTGTACCATCAGCAGCCATCTTTGTTATGGTTATCAATTAATGACAAACAGATCTGGGTTATTAAAATTTGATTCTAAATTTGTAGATCACATTAGTAAGATTAAATAAAATATGAGCCATAATAATTTTAGACAGGATAACTGCATATATAAATTGAAAATATATCACAGATAATTACTGATAATCACTCTGTTATAATTTACATGTTATGACCAGTTCTGCTGATAATATTCCTTCATATGCATGTATGAACTAAGAATATATTACAAATAATTACTGAGCTAGCTCTATTATAATTTACATAGTATTACCAATTATGCTGATAGTATTCCTTCATAGAGTAAACAGAGTGATAAAATAGAAATCTTTCAGTACTGCTTTAAAGTTTAACAGATCAGAAGCCAACATTTTTATTACTTGAGGTAGATGATTAAAGCTTTAATGCCTGCTACATATGCACCTTTCTTGTATTTTGGTAGGTTGACAGTAGGTAAGTAAAGATTATTTAGGGATCTAGTTTTATATTTGTGAATCTCATTAACAGAATTGGAAAGATGTTTATTATTAATTGTAAATAAAATTAATGAGTATATGAACTGAGAATGAAATGTCATTATCTCCAGGTTCTTGAATAAATCCCTACAAGACTCACTTGGACCAGAATTCATAATAATTCTAATAGCCTTTTTTTGCAGTACAAAACATTGTTAGCACAGGAAGAGCTTTCCCAAAAAATTATACCATAGCTCAAGACAGAATGAATGTGGACAAAATAAATTAACTTTAATATATCTGGAGGGTTAAAGTATTTTATATTTCTCAATGCTTAACATGCACTGGAAATTTTATTGATAACATAATCAATATGCTGTTTCCATGTCAGAGTATCATCAATGATTAACCCTAAAAATTTTGTATCCATCACATTGATTAAATTAGTCTGATCATAAGTAATTTGTGCAGTAATATTATAATGATTCAATGAACGAAATTCAACATATTGAGATTTATTAAAATTCAAAGTGAGCAAATTAGCATTAAACCATGAATTAATATCCTTAAACGTTTGATTACAGGTCATATCAAAGTCTAATTTGTTCATGCCAGTTACTATAATACTGGTGTCATCTGCAAATAATACCATGTTATTATTTTTATTAATTATTTTTTATACTGTCTGTATGAATGATTCAAATTGTGTATAGCAAATACAGTGCTTATCTTAAGTTGTAATAAAGGTTGTTATGAATGAATGACAAAGGAAACCCTAATCAGCATATGAACATTAAATAATCTATTATTATTACAGTTTTATTTTCTTGTTAGGAATTTCCAGGTACAGAAATTTTAGTTGGCTACATATGCTCTGCAAAGGAACCAAATCAATTTTACATTTGTACCACTGAAGCTGCCAAGAAGACTGTTCTCGAGATGATCATTAAGGATGAAGCTGAACAAGAAAGGCGAGTGTCTAGTTATATCTACAAAGTTTGCCAGGAATGGAATCCTTTGGGTAGTGGAAAGGAAGTTGAGGATAATCAACCCAAACATGCACGACCATTGGTAAGTAATATGTAGTTCATAATTTCAGAATTTGTATTTTAAAAATATTTTTACTGTAAAATAATTCTTATGACTGTCATTTGTATCTAAATTATGAGAATTTAATGAAATAACTGCATGTCTGGATCTTTCAGAATGCTTAGTTGAGAACAGTTAATCTTACATTCATGGTCTAGTGCCAGGGTTAAGAATATGTGGGGTTTCTACATGGACATCCATGTGATTATTTGCAGAGTAATTTATTAGTATCAACCGAGTACGTGAAGATTTTGTATTTTTGTTGGTTTCAGTTGGAAATGCAAACTTGGGCTGCAGCTAGCCATTTGAATCAACCAGTAATGTTCCAGGATCGCAATGTAGATGATGTACAGGATGGATATGTAAAATTTGATCCTAGGAGACATAAGTATGTGACAGTGACGAGAAAGAGAACTGACATAGCTGTTCAGGTAATATCCTAGGGCAGAGTAATTAATTTAACCTTTATCCTACGGCCCTTTAAACTTAGGTTGTGGCAACGGTACGGAGTTCTTTAAATGGCCGCTATTTGAGATTCGTGAAAATTGTAGTCACTTACTAATTTTGCTCCTATTTCTGCTATTTCTGTGATAATCGAACGAAATAAACGCTGTTTTTTTCTCGAAAGAATATAGAATCAGATATTGTAATTTACAGATTGTATAAAACATGTTAAAATTTTTGCACTGACACCAAAGGAGAATTTTCGCAATTTCTTGTTTCTGAGCAAGAATTCATACGTTCTGGACACCCCTGAATGGAAGTTGCTGATGACGACACTTGTGCATGTCACGGTAACACCGGATGTTGAGTCTAGAGACGTTATCGCAGTCTATGTGACGAGCTTCAACTGGAATGTGGTCAGTGGAAGAGAGATATAAACTCACGTGTTGTTTATAGATCTCTCCTGAACAATACGTATACTGTTCTTCTACAGTTCCATGCTAGCATTCTTTATGCATGCGTTGTCGTTGCCGTACTAACACAGCGTAATAGCTTAGTGGCTGGACGTGTTCAGTCGAGAGTAATTTCAAATTTCGTTCGTAACATGTGGTCCGTGTCGTTTGGGATATTCTGACATATTGCAGCTAATCAATGCCTCCGATACAGAATCCTGTACCGACAATTCTGAGAGTGACGTTGAAGGTAGCAAATCATAAAGTGATTTCGAAGAAGACCCATAATCTTCGTCGGCAACCTGGGGAGCACGACACCAGCGTGGCACGAGGAGTGTGAATAATTATTCAGATGGAGCTGTGGGCAAACTGTGGCAAACAGTTATAGCATCTGTCGTCGAACCTGGAAATGGACAAATAAGCTATTTCTCCATCTCCTTGGTCTGAACAGTTACATCCTGTTGTCACACAGAGAATTTCGTCTCGCTCTTGTGCGGAACATGCTGTTAGGGGTCCCCCTCGCCATCAACGGCCAGGGGTCGAACCCCTGCCGTTTTATGGGAGATATCTCGACTATAGAAGGCCAAACCACATCACTGGCCGACTTGCTATACTTCGCAATTGAGGTGTCGTGTGTGCTTTTCGCGTGGGACACGAAAGACCGCCCGGACAAAGTGCGTGAATTGCGAAATCGGACTCTGCATTTCCGGATTTTTTGAGAATTCCACACGAAGGCAACATTCCGGCAGATGATGCAGGCGGGAAGACAGACACTCCATGCAGATGGTGGCCAAAAATTATGTAAGTAGGACATAATTTTCTACTTTAAAATTTAATTTTATATAACGTTGCCACGCGCGGACTCTGCGACACCATATGTAGTCATTCGTGCCGGTGACTTTCTTTTAAAGACGACATACGTTGTCTTTAGTCGTTTAAAGGTTAAAACTCGGGAAATGATGAAGTGGATTGATTTTCATGGAACAGTGTGATTAGTGGTTTCATATTGGTACCACTGATATAAATACAGATACAAACTGGAGTTATATCATAGTGCCCTCAGTCTTGGACTCACTTGATTCTGCCTTTGTGTCCTGCCCATGACATGAGTTTTCATTTTTGAGCATTTTTGTAAATGCCAATTATTATACTCATAATCTTTCCTCTCATATTTTTAAGCTCTGCAATGAGTTAGTGGATGAAAGCTGTTCTGTTATAAGGATAAAGGTTTAAAGTTAAGGGTGATGGAACACTGGAACAAGACAAAGAATATGTTACCATGCTATTTCCTGTGTGGGAACATCCCACATACTAACACGTGGTTTCGCCAGACTAACAGACAGCACTCACTACTAGTCAATATCACATTGCCACCACTCGTATTTATACAGCACTCGATGTCCAGCCCACCTCTAGAACATCACGTGCACTAGCCAATCATCACTCACAATCGCAACTGCAAGTTTAAGCTCCGCCCAGCAAGCATGGTGTAAAAGCGGAGCCCAAAGCTTGCAATCATCAGTGATCACATTCAGTTTAGAGCAATCAGTCATCAGAGTCATCAGTTCTTCACTGCTCCAAAGACAGCTGCCGCAACTCTCCAGCAACCGCTCTCTGCTACCAGACAGCTAATGTAGCTGCCACAACTCTCCAGGAACCACGCTCTACAACCAGGCAGCTAACGTAGTTTCCTCAACTCTCCAGCAACCTTGCTCAGTGACCAGGCAGCTAACGTAGTTGCCGCAACCGCGCCATAGGCAGCTGTTCCTACAGATGCATGCAGCACCACATTACCAGCCGGACAAACCAGCTGAACGGCCATAAAGACTTCGTCCCCTACAAAGGAGGAAATTCTACCAGTGCACTCATGGTGGAACAAACTGCCCTTTTCAGGGCCAGCCAACTTTTGACATACCACATAGCTTCGCAGCTGTTCTGTACATTCAATTTATACAATTTAATATTTACAATTATTACAGTTTTACGTGGTTGTCTTCTAGAACATCGACAATCCTACATCGGTGACCCTGACTCAGCATGGACGCCACAGACAGTTCGTCAGCAGAAGTGTCCAGAGTGGCCGTGCGGCTCCCGCCGTTCTGGCCAGAGCAACCAGCTATGTGGTTCACCCAGGCCGAGGTGCAATTCACCTTGGCTGGCATTAGCAGCGAGTGCATCAAGTTTTGCCACATGATCTTGCAGCTGGACCACCGGTACGCCACAGAGGTGGAGGATATCATCACCTCTCCGCCCAAACAAGATCCCTACAGCCTACTGAGGACCGAGCTTGTGAGGTGGCTATCCCCATCAACGGAGCAGCGCATCTGGCAGCTCTTCGCAGTTGAGGAAATTGGCGACCATGAGCTATCACAGTTCCTGCAATACCTCAGGAGTCTCGCATCAGACATGTCTGATAACGTCATCCGAAGCGTCTGGACCAGCCGGCTGCCCCGGAATGTACAGAGCTTCCTCGCCAGCCAGAACGAGCAATTTGGAGGCCGCAGCCCTCTGTGCAGACCGCACCTCCGAGGTCAAAATCCAGCCAGCCAGCCAACGCCGCACTTTGGCAGGAGATCACTGACCTCGCCCGCCAAGTGGCTGCACTCAGCGCCGGACAGGACCGCCTCCACGACCGCTTCAAGGAGCTTGACCCCAACCCGAGAGACAGAGGCTCCAGTCCCAAGGATTCCCACTCCACCTTCAACAGCCGCCGGCCTGGCAGCAGATCCCCCTCCCGTGACGACCAGTACCTGCTGGTACCATCGCCACTTCGGCGCTCGGGCGCCATACTGTACTCTGCCCTGCTCCTGTCACCGTCAGGGTAACTGACACAGCAGACATCATTGGCGGCACATGTCTGCACTGCGACGACAGGCCGCCTCTTCATAACGGCCAGAGTCAGCAAACGGCAGTTCCTGGTCGACACGGTTCGGACCTCTGTGTATACCCCCGCAGGCTTGTCCCTTGACACATGGAATGTACCAACTATGACTTGTGTGCAGCTAATGACACTACCATCCACACATATGGATGGCTGCCTCTCAGCCTCAACTTAGGCCTACGCCGAGAATTCACATGGCGGTTCGTGGTGGCCGACGTCATGCATCCCATCATCGATGTGGACTTCCTATCACATTTCGGTCTCCTGGTGGACTGTCGGAACAACCGCATTCTGGATGGGGTCACGACACTCAGCCCCGGCCTCAGCTGCCGACGCACCGGTCGACAACCTCCTCACAGAGTTCCCGGACCTGACCCGCCTAGCCGAAATCCAGCGCGAGGTATGACACAACACTGTCCACCACATCAAGACTTTACCTGGCCCACCAGTAACCTACCGACCACGGCGATTGGCACCGGACCGGCCAAGTTAGCCGAGTTAGACGCCATGTGGGATGGTACAGCTCGCCGTTCAGAGTGTTCGTGGTCCTTGGCACTACACATCGTGCCCAAGAAAGACAACGGTTGGCGTCCATGTGGCGATTACAGAGCGCTCAACTCCCGAACCATCCCTGACTGTTACCCTGTCAGGCATATCCACGGCTACTCCCACTAGCTTTTTGGCTGTTCCGTCTTTTCCGAAATTGACCTGGTTAGAGCCTACAATCAAATCCCTGTCCACCCTGAAGACATACAGAAGACCGCCATCATTACTCCATTCAGCCTCTTCGAATTCCCATTCGTGTCCTTTGGCCTGCGCAATGCCGCCCAGACCTTCCAGTGCTTCATGGACAACATTCTACGGGGACTCGACTTCTGCTTCGCATACTTAGATGACATCCTTGTCTTCTCCCGGTCACTCGAAGAGCACGAACAACACCTAAGTACTCTCTTCAACCAACTCCAGAGTTACGGGATCATTATCAACCTGTCAGAGTGCATCTTCAGAGCACCCGAGGTCACCTTTCTCGGCTACAAAGTGTCCACCAAGGGTTCCGAACCTCTCCAGGACTGTCCTCCGAAGACCGCCAGTCAGTTCCAATGATTCCTAGGCATGCTGAACTTCTACAGGCGATTTCTGCCCCATGCAGCGACCATGCAGGAACCACTGCACAACATCTCTGGACCCAAAGTCAAGGGCTCCCATCCCATCACTTGGACACTGGAGCTCCACAAGGCATTCGAAATTGCAAGGTGAGTTTGTCACACGCCACTCTACTGGCCCACCTGGATCCATCCGCGCCACTTGCACTCATCACAGATACCTCCGCATCCGCCATGGCTGCCGTGCTACAACAACGCATAAGGAACACCTGGCAGCCCCTTTCCTTCTTCTCAAAGAAACTTAACCCGGCCCAACAGAAGTACAGCGCCTATGACCGCGAGCTACTGGCTATGTACAAAGCAGTCAAGCATTTCCACCATACAAGGTGCGGCAATAAAGAAACCGGATTACTTTTATGACTCATTTCCGGCCACGTCGATGACGAAGATGAGGGTAGGGCATTGACCCGTGGACTTCCCTCTACCTTCACACAAAGTTTCATTCACGTGCATCAGTTAGTCTGGCCGCGACCACTGTTAGAAGCGGCTCGTGTGTCTGAGCTCCGTCGGAATAATGCTGAGTGCTAATGCAGAACAACGTGTTAACATCAAATTCCTCACAAAACTTGGAAAATCTGCCACTGGAACTTACAATTTGTTGACAGAAGTATATGGTGATCAGTGTCTATCTCGCACGCAAGTTTTCGAGTGGTTTAAGAAGTTTATGGAGGGTAGGAAAAACGTCGGGAACGATCCAAAATCGGGCCGTCCTTCCACTGCGAAAACTCCAGAGAATGTGGAGAAGGTCGCTAGAATTGTTCGAAGAGATCGTCGACTGAGCATTCGAGCAATTTCTGAACTTACGAACATCAATAAGGAAAGTGTTAGACAGATTTTGCACGACGATCTGGGCATGAAAAAGGTGTGTGCTAAAGTGGTGCCAAAAATCCTTACCCCCCAGCAAAAGGAACATCGAGTGAATTGCTGTGTTGACACTCTTGAAAACATTGAAAATGATCCTGATTTCTTCCAAAACGTAATTACGTGTGACGAAACTTGGATTCTTCAATATGATCCAGAGACTAAGCGACAATCCATGCATTGGAAGAGCCCCAAATCCCCTAGGAAGAAGAAAGCGCGCATGAGCAAGTCCAAATTCAAAGCAATGATGATTGTTTTTTTCGATATCCGGGGGGGTAATCTACATTTATTGGGTACCTGAAAGTCAGACTGTCAATCAGGTTTATTATAAAAATGTTTTGACGACCCTCCGTGAACGTGTGCGACGAAGGAGACCAGACATGTGGAAGAATGCCTCATGGGTTCTTCATCACGACAACGCGCCAGCACACAACGCGCTATCTGTGAAGAGGTATTTGGCAAAAAACAACATTCCAGTGATGGAACATCCACCGTATTCTCCGGACCTAGCACCATGCGACTTTTTTCTCTTCCCGAAAATCAAGTCTGCGCTCAAAGGGACCAGGTTCGAGTCCGTGAATGCAGTGAAAGCAAAAGCGACGCAACTCTTGAAGAGCATAACACCAGATGACCTGCAGCACTGCTTCCAACAGTGGAAAATTCGCATGGAGCGGTGTAGGGATCGGGGAGGGGACTACATTGAAGGGGATAACATTTCGATTGTCTGATTTTTTTTTCAATAAAGGATTAGAGCATGAATCCGGTTTCTTTATTGCCGCACCTTGTATGCTGGAAGTGCATCACTTCACCATCTTCACCGACCACAAGCCAATCACCCACTTCTTTCAGCAGAAGCGGAATAAATGCTCACCCCGGCAGTTCAACCAACTAGACTTCATCTCCCAGTTCACAACCGACATCCAACACATCTCTGGACAGGACAATGTTGTCGCCGACACCCTCTCTCGCGTTGAGTTCGTCACTATGCCACCACCTTACAACGCACTTGCCGCATCACAGGACAGCGACGACGAACTCCGAGCACTCCTGGGGTCAACCACCGCCCTGTGGCTCAAGAAACTACCAGTCCCTGCTACCGCAGTCTCCATCTGCTGCGACACGTCTACCGGGAGATCTCGGCCGTACGTTCTGGCGCCTCTACATCTCCAAGTGTTCCAGTCTGTCCACGATCTGTCGCACCCAGGCACCAGAGCAACAGCGAAGCTGGTCGCACAGCGATTCATGTGGCCAGGCGTGCAGTAGGATTGCCGCACCTGGGCATGTGCTTGTCAGTCCTGCCAGTGCTCCAGAGTCTCCTGTCACACAGTTACTCCACTGGGCAACTTTACACCACTGGCAGCCCGTTTTCTGCACGTCCATATAGACCTTGTGAGACCCCTTCCAACGTCGGCGGGCTACACATACTGTCTCATTGCAGTCGACCGTTTCACCCGCTGGCCAGAAGCCGTCCCCATTTCGGACATCAGCCGGCACAGTGGCACGCGTCCTACTGACCGGTTGGATATCACGCTTCGGTTGCTCGCAGACCATCACCACCGACCAGGGACGCCAGTTCGAATCTCAACTCTTCCAATCCCTGGCCAGGCTGTGTGGCATCCAGCTTTCACCTACAACCGCCCACCACCCAGCAACATCGACAATCTCACACCTGTATGAGGTCTGATGGTTAAATAACAGGACTGAAGGTTATGTTCAGCAGTTGGTACATAGTGGATCACGTGACTATGATTCAACAATTCTGTGTGAAGTTGTTTTGGAATTCAGTTTGTTCTGTGTTGTAGCAAGCGTTTTATTGGTTCAGTGTTTTATTCACTTGCTAGTTTGTCAAACAGAAGGAAAAGAAATTTTATCACATCTTTCAGTATCAAGAACAAAAACTTTTGGAGAAAGTTGTGACTTGTGATGAGACTTGAATTTTTGTATGATCTGGAAAACGAAAACACCAGACTCTGCAGTAGAAATATCCATTATCTGAAATTGCAAATTCAAAATCGAAGGTCAAATCCATGGTGATTTGCATTTGTGATATCAGAGGAGTTATAAATTTTGAAGTTTTCTAGGTTGCAATATTGTGTAGTCATAATCCTTCCAAGCAAATGCTAGAATAATGCCTTCAAATAAGTTATGACCACCTGTTTCAAAATCCTTTCTGTTTACCATTTATGATCATCATCATTGGAAAAACAGCTTGTTTTGAGCCGTAGCCTTCTTTAGAAGATTCTGCCAGATTGTATCCTGTTTTCACTTTTTTCGGTTTCACGCCAATAATTTTTCTAAGCAGCAAGATGGCGAGCCTTGCATCCATCTTCCAAACTGGAGGACCAGGTCCCTATATTTATGACCCTCAGTGACATGGTGGCCCAGTTATACCCCCAAACACCAGTTTCCCTTTTCTTCACCTTCTATGACTTGCAAGGCTACATTGGAGTTTTTCTAACCCACCTCCACACAAGGACATGACCATCATCACATTTCGTATATCTGTAATTGAAACACATTATTCAGTAATCCAAGAATGAATTAATAGTGTCACTGTGATTAATTTTCCCTTTAATTTATATTAATAAATTTTGAAAGTATGTTACTTCATGTTTCAGGCAGTTCCTGAAAAGTGCCTTTCAGTAGCACAGACAGATACACCACTACCGTCAAATATATGGACCCAGTACGAGTTTCATGCGGATGCTCAAAAGGAGATTGAAGATGAAGAGTTATCAAGGAGCATAAAACAGTTCTTACATGAAAAGTCGCCACAGTAAGTAGAGTGTTTAACTTGGTTCATTATTAGTATTATTTATCTTAAACCTCTCAGGGTGAATGATTTCATAACACTTCATTAGAGGAGCCATAGATTGTATCTTATCAACTGTAATATAAGAGATTCCATAATAATATAACTGCCCCTAACGAATAGCGTAGTCAGTATAGCAACTGGCTATGGAATGGATGACTGAGGGGTAGGAGTTCAAATCTCGGTAGGGTAAAGAATTTTATCTTTTTCACAGTGTCCAGACTGGCTCCAGGGCCCACCCAACCTGCTATCCAATGGGTACCGAGGTAAAGGGCAAGGGGCGTGAAGCTGACCACTCACCTCCAACTAGTGCCGAATTCAAGAAAATGTGGATCTGTAGATCCACTTCCCCATATGTCTTAATGGTGTAGTGCTTAATTAATTGAGCACAGAGACAACTTTACCTTTACCTAACTAATCTCAGGTAGCATTATGCTGTACACAGGAGCATGGACACCAGCAGGATTCGTTCATGGGGAGCTGGAAAATTTGTTTATGAACTTACATTTAAGCAATTTAAGACTATTTTGTTGATCATTCTATAGCATTCAGGATGGAAAAATAATTTTTAATAGTTCCTATAGTTTTTGATAGTAATATTATATAAAATTTCTCCTTTTTGTCAGTTAAGATTCTTCTTCCAAAAATCTAAGGAGGAGGAGGATGCCTGATTTGCAAGCATGCATGAGCATGCATGCACATACATAAACACTCCACACACACACGGACGCAGACACACATGCATACAGGCCCACCCTGGAAGACACTGTTTGGAATTTGAATACTTAGATGCAAAGTGTTCATCTGAGATAGGACTGTGTTATTAGAGCTAGTGCAGCAGTGGTTCGTTCTGTGATCTTTGAGGGAGCAGGGAAAGGGTCCTTCCTGCATGTAGCTCTGATTCTTTGTATGTATACATAACTTATTGCTGATTACTGTAAAAGGTGGTATAGATATAACCTATTTCACAAGATCTGCTAGAAGTGAAACCCCACTATCTGCTTTCAGTCACACCTCACAGAACATGAATAGGTTTTATGACATTCCTTGAAGTTCATTCTTGAAACTGAAGTAGTCACATATGTTATTTCATTCTGGGAGTTTCTGTAATATAAGGATTACACTTTTCCTTTCAATTTATCCCAGAGATGATAATTACACTACCTGAAATTAGTGAATCTAGGAGGCCAAAGTCCTTTGCTGATTATTCTGTTCACAGATACATCGCATGCAGTGGCCATGAACTTGTCATTCATATGTGCTATGGCATGATCTTGCTAGACATATCCATGTTGTCTTTCTTCACCTGTCAGTTGATTAGTGAAGGGATTCAATACATTGCTTACCAGCTGATCTAAATTCATAATTCACTAAAAAAATGTTGGTCCAGTGATTTAGTACTCTCTTCACAGCCCTATTTACACTATGTAATGGCGTTTTTTTAATTGTAAGGGGGATTTTTTCATTCCATGTTCATAATTTTACATACTGACATGACCACTAAGATAGAATCTTGTCTCATCAGTTATTTATGAATAACAATTGTGAAGCCATGACATCATGCACATTTTTCAGCAGCCTCTTGCAAAAGTGAGCTCTTGATGCATAATCTGCTTTCTTAACACATTGTGGACCGATGGTTTAAACATTTAAATCACCCTGGGGACCGGCGTTTTTAAACCTACTACCCTAACTTGTGCACTGTTCACTTTAAAAATTAATATAAAATCTCCTAATTAATTTTATGAACTGAAATTTTTGGAGAACACTTACCAGAGCTCCTAAAGTGCTTGTGCATGTGATATCTCTGGAAACATTCCCCTTTGTGAAGAGGCATTATGCAAAAGTTGCACATGTAGGCAGTTCTACTCTTCTTCTTGTGCTCTGCGCACACACGGCACTGCCTAGAAGGGTGTTTCTTCTTGCAATATTCACTCTTCACAATTTTCACGAGAATATGTTTCCGCATATCACCCGAGAGTCGGCCAGGGGGTCTACTTGAGGCCTCTGGCGGGTGCGAACAGATGGCCCTGGCTGCACTACGTCTGTGTCTGATGCAGGTACTGCCGCCACCATGATGTCAGTAGCCCAAGCTTTTGCCAGTTTCAACAGAAATGCTTTGTATTTCAAAGTAGAATTTCTGTTCACCTTTTTGAAAACCGTAAATGAATTGAAAATTGCACAGTTTATAAGCCACAGTGCAACTTTCTTCGTCCATTTTACTGTTTTCCTAGGAAGGGAATAATAGGCCAAGAACTGGTCGGCCCTATCAACTCCTTTCATGAACATATTATACTCGGAAATACAAAGAGGCTTCTTTACTTGCCCGTGTCGTCTTTGAAGATCGACCATGCTCGAATTGTGAATAGTGGAAACCATATTCACAATGTGAGTATCCCTCCAGGACTGAAGAAGAATGTCCCCCTTCCTCCTGAATGCGGTGTCGCCACGTTTCAGGCGTTTACATTCCTCTTTCAGATCTGGAGGGAGGCCTCTGTTCACCCTAATTGTACCACAAATACGTACTTTCCTTGAAAGTAGGTATTCTGCAGTTGCCACACTGTTGTAATAATTATCTTGATACACGTGATAATTTTGATCGAGATAGGGACCCAAAACAGAAACAATAGTTTCTTGCAATTTCTTGCCTTCAGCAGAATAAATTTCTAAATTTCCTATATAGCCTGAAGTGCTTTCCGTGACAACACGAACAAGTAGGCCATACTTTGTGAGCTTCCCAGGATTATACGTTCGAATACGAAGCCTTCCTCTCCAAGGAATCACAGATTCGTCCAAAGACAGTTGTTGCTCTGGCTTATAAACTGTCTGAAATTTTTCAACCAAAATGTCTAATAAGGGCTGAATTTTGAAAAGCCTGCCTGTTGGTTGTGGCTGCACTTCATTATTGTTGAAATGCAAACACCACCATATCTGTTCAAATCTCTTACGACTCATGAGTTTGCCGAAAATTGCAATTTCTAAAAATGGGTCACTTGACCAATAATCCTTCAAACTTTCTCTCTTCGTAAGCCCCATTAGAATGATTATAGCCAAAATTTTTTTCATTTCTGTTGAAGTGACATCCACCCACTTCAAAACCTTATTGGTTCTGTCGTACGCCTCATGGTGTTGGAGATAGTATCTGTTAGTTTCCTGACACAACAGGTCAAAGAAACTATCTCCAAAAAACAGTGATGCAACTTCAGACACGTCCGTTGGGTCCGATGGCATCTGCTTCACCCCCGGATCACCGTTAAACTTTCCCAAAGTGGGGCTTTTGTCCACTTTATCCCATGTAGCTGTCCCGACACTTGCACTTTCAACAGAGCTCTCACTTTCACTTGACAGATTTTGGGCAGCCCTGTGGCCACTGTCACTGTCACTGATAATGGCCTCGCTATCAGAAGACGAAGCAGTTGGCAAATCTGATAGCTCATCGGAGAACATATCTAATATTTCCTGTCCTCCGAGAGATCGCAACTGCTTTCGTCTCTGAGCCATGTTGAACTGGTAGCTGCGTGGTTCATACGTGCAAGCTTGGATTAGAACAAAGCCAATTTTGTTTAGGTTGTGACAGGAAATGACTCTGGTCGAGTTACTAGATAAGGCAGCAATCATTCCCGAGGTCATCTACGCAGTAGTTACGATTCAACGAAGCCACACAGCGATATATAGCGTTTTGCAACATAACGTGACCGTAGAGGGCCATATGGCCCGACCGGTCCGCAATGCTTGAAACCTAGAGGGCCATATGGCCCCTCTGGTCCACAATGTGTTAAGCTCATGCAAAATTTTAGTTAGTCTTGTGGCTCTGAATGCAGATCCCAGCCAAACTCCAGTTTTCTGTGCCAAACATCTTAACTGTTTGTCAAGACTAATCTCTGACGTTGCCTGAATGTTTTAAACTTTTTCTTCATTAAGTACATTCCTCATGGGTTATTTATTTTTGTCATAGACTGAAGCCATGTTGCATAACTTTTTGACACACCTTAATAAACATGACTTGTAGGAACTCGTTTGTGTATTTGTGAATGAAACTCTGAATGCATTTGCTGTAAGTTTTCTATTCTATAAATGATTTGACTATCTCAACTCAGTGCTGAATTTTATACCTCATAGCAAGGGTAAGAAATCTAGACATAAAGTTAAATACCTGATCAAAGAAAACTATGGGCATAAAACCAGGGTTACAGGGCAAAGGTAGTACAGTCTGAAGTTCATTCTTAATGTCACTATCAGCTGGGAAGTGGCTTCCAGTGGTCAAATGTGGAGAATTAGATGTGAAGCTAGAAATGCTGTAACTCGAAAGCCAGTTTATTGCAAGACAGAGGAAGAGGACATTGCAGTGGCATATAATGAAATAGTAGTGGACAGAACAAAGCTGATATCAGGATCCTAGCTGGCCATGGACTGCCATGCAATTCCTGTTCCAAAACATGATAACATAATGACTATTGTCACAGGCAGGACTGAAGGTGGATCCAGAACTACAAACATTGTTAGGAAGTTACAAGAATTCAAAAATGACATAAGCTTCAGCCAAGAAGAGCCTTAGAAAGGACATAAGCGCTGGCCAAGACATACTGGCAGCCCACCAAAAGGAGCTAGAAAGTGATATAAATGGTGCAGAGGCTAACCACAGTTAGTTCTAAGAAAGAATGACAGACATGCTAGATAAACAGTTAAAGGGTGTCATGACGGTGGTTAATTGGAAGGCCCAGAATCTTTATGAGGTGCTCAGTGCAGAATTACAGACAATTCAACATGACCTGGAAGCCACATGTCAGGAGTTTGAGACCCACTTGCCTGCAGTATAAACCTGAATGAGACATGAAGAGTGGTGAGTCACAGGAACCAGCACCTTCATAGTGATACCACCAAAGCTTGACAGATTCCTGTCCTGGACAGTGTTTCACTGGCAGTTTGAGGCTGTGGCTGATCACAACAGCTAGATGACCCATGAG